TTTAGAAAAAATAAAAGAAATTGATTTATCCAATATAAAAAAAAAAATCGGTTCTTATTCGGTTATTCGGTTCTTGGTCGAGAACCGAGAACCAAATCGAACCATTCGGTTCTCGATTCGAATACACGTTCGGGTATTTCATTTTAAAAAACCCGCTCGATTTGGTTTGAACATTTTGCCCAACCCTAGGTAGGCATATCATATGCTGAGATTGGCTTGAGCATGGACATGACTAGGAGCGAACACATGGGGTCCTGGGGATCACGTGATCCCCCAACTTTTGGGATTTTTTTTTTTGATAAAGTCCTGTTTGATATTGATAGAAATTTAAATTTAAATTTAAATCAAAGTTAACAATTAATTTTAATAACATATTTTATGAATCCACAACTTTTTAACCTTTATCAAAATTTACTAAAGAGTTGATTTTAATCTCCACCAAATAGGGACAAAATTACGATAAATTTGAACTTTTTCTCTTTCCTTTTACTCTCTCACTCACGCACCTATTACAAAACATTAACCATTCTAAATTTTTTTTTATTTGCCTATAATTTCTCTACAAATTTTCAACTAATTAAAACCTAAATTTGCATTTTCTCCCATCAAATTGTGTATATATAATGTGTCTGAAATTAATATATATCAAATTTGACTTATATTTAACGAATTGTGTTTATTTGATTGATTATTAGAATTGAATAAAAGTTATATATTTATTCTTTCAATTACTTGAATTGATTGCTTTAATTTATTGTTCGTATCAAATATACTATAATTTCTTTAAACGTAAATATACATTTTGTTGTGATTAGTAAAATATTAATAAAACGATTGTTCGAAACAAAATGGATGAAAATGATGAACAAAATATTAATGAAAGAATGCTTTTAAAAGTAAATCTATGTTTTCTTGGATCAAGTATGAATTATTCAAAAATCAAGAACATAGTATTCTATCTGTATGGTATTTAATTTTGCTTCCCTAACTCAAAATGTCTGTGTCCGTCACTGTATATGACAACTCTTTTTGATACCTTTAGTAATATCTTTATCCTATTTCCTCTTGCCACGTCTTAAAAATCAACTTTACTTAAATTTTGTTAAAAAGTATTAGTCATTGACCCGATTTTGGGGCATTTCTTGATTATAATAATATGCAACATGTCCCCCAAAGTCATGATTTATGATTGCCATCATTTGGTCCCCAAATTCATAATTTGAGTGATTTTTTAATTGGATGAAGTGGGGTATATATTGTCAAAATTATTGTACACCACATGGTTTGGAAGAATGAAATTATGAATGTACATCCACGAAAGGTGGAAAAAGAGTAAACTTAGAGCACATATATTTGGCTGATTTAAAAATTTACCTTTCAAGTAAAAACTTTCGGTCAGAAGTGTATCATGCTCGGATAAGTTTAAAAGCGGTTTAAAAGGTTGTTGATCACAAAATTATATTCAATAAATTCCTTTCACTTACCTGAAATTTTCTTCTCCTAAACTCGTAGTGCTTGATGCTCACCAAGGGGCAAGAGGGAAAATGACTTTTGAGAGGGAAATATTTGAATTTACAGACAATTTCTGTTATTGAAGTACATCATTGTTCTTCCCTTCTTATAAAGAAAAAAACAATGATAAATTTTAGTAAGAGAAATCACACATGCGATCGTAGTGGACAACACCATGCGATGGCATGTGCAACTTTCGTCATGTGCTATGTGGATTTTTTTATCCACGCTGTAATTTTTTAACCCCATCAGTGTCACGTAGGATATTCCATCATTCTCATTGATTTTTGTCTATGTGGATTGATAGAAATGATATGGCTGATGAATTAGTAACTTCGTTCAAATTTGGGTGAACAACGAATGATCTTTTAAATTTTGGTTAGTAGTAACTTATAGCAAAATTAACTAAGTATGTGTTTGATTGCAAGTATGGAAAGAAATAAATTCTAATCAATTCAATTTCCTGGAACTTATTTGTATGAAATTATTAATTAAATGTGTTTAATTAATTTAGTTTTCAACCTTCGTGGTGGAAAAATGACATTTTTCATGAAAAATAAAGTCAATCAAACACACTCAAAAAATTCACTGAGCAACAAATAGCTTTTTAAATTTCGATAAGCAAATAATAATTCATAAAAAAGTTGAGTGACCATTGATTAAACTAACTAAATTTTAAGAAATATTTAGAGCTTGTTTGGTAGGGATTTTTTAGAGAAGAATTGATTTTTGAATAGTGATATGATGAGAAATGTGTGGTTGAAAAAGAAGAAAGTGATGGAAAATATTATTTTATTGAAGAATGTATGAATTAAAATGAGAATTGATTTACTGTAGAATTTGAAAATAAAAAACAAACATCCCCTTAGATAGCTTGTTACATCAAATTCCACCAATAGTGTATTGAGAATGCTTCTACTTCATGCTCACTCCCTCTTTCTCCTTTTTACTCCACCCCACCCCACCTCACCTGAGCCCAAAGCACCCCCACAATGGCACAATCCAAATAAGAAAAAAATAAATAATAAATACAATATGTATATTGTTGTAAAGCAAAATCCAGGATTATGGGCACCAAACACCATTTCTCTAGGATATTCCCATAAAAATTGTTTGGTCTCCACTATTTTCAAAATATATTTTTCTCTCTATTATTTTCAACCACACATTCTTTAAGAAAATAACATTACACGTAAATCCAACACTTTTCTTTATTTTTTAACAACACATTCTCCCTCAAATAACTATTTCAAAATACATTTTTGACAAAAAAAAGGGACACTAAAGAGCTCTTAAAAAAATCAATTATTTTCAAGAGAAGTGGACCCATGGCAGTTTGAAAAGAAGAAGCAACAACCCAGAATTGAACAATTGGCAGAATACCTTCACAATAGTCTATTTCTTTTCGTTTTGAATTTCAAATTTGAAATATCTTATAAGCCATTAAAAAGCTAACAAAAAAAATAAAAAAAGTGCAGAATTTTCTCAGATTCTGTTTTCCAAACGTTGAAGGTTTCTTCTCAACCTGGTACAGCATGGGGGACTCAGCTGTAATTCTTGCCTTCCCTTATGCTTCAGATTTATCCAATGAAACCAATCAGGTAAAGAAAATAGAAACTAGTTTTTTTCATTTCTTGTTCTAAGATATAATTTTGTTGTACTTTTTAATGAAGTTTGCTCTTAATTTAGTTATAATCCGGATTCTTGTATTGGATTGGAAAAATGGAGTCTAATTATACTATACGCTCTTGTCGACTGTGGATTTTTTTATGAGCCAGCTCGGTTTTGTGTATAAGATGTATGAGAAAACTTGCAGTGGTTAGTGGACATAACTCTAACATGGAGTGTGATCTGCTATAAACTTTGAGTACTTTTTTCTGTCTTCAGAGATTAGGACTTAATTACGTGACATCTTGAAGCTTTGATTATGTGAGAAATGAAAGTTAATGGGGTATGTACAGGGGAACCCCATGCATGCTCTTGGGGAGTCGATTTCTTTTGGGAGGTTTATGTCGGAATCCTTGTCGTGGGAAAAATGGTCAACCTTTTCTCATAAGAAATACGTTGAAGAGGCCGAGAGGTATTCACAGCCTGGATCAGTAGCCCAGAAGAAGGCTTTTTTCGAGGCTCATTACAAGAGAATCGCAGCTCAAAAGGCGGCAGCATTGTTGGAACAAGAAAATTCTGTTGATGAACAAAAGATCCCAGATGCACAAGTAGACCATGTAAGAACTCATTAGGTACACAGATTGATATGAATAGTACAATTACAACTACAACGGATAAGATACTAACTACTTTTTTCTCTAATATTTTTTTCTAATCCAGCGTAAAGAAGATGTTGAAAGGGTTGAATCAAATAAAGTAGAAAGTGTCAAGACGGATCAAAAGGCCCCGGTGACAGAAAATGAAGCCTTGATGGAGACTCCTGTGAAGAAAATTTCAATGAATCAGGTTCTTAATCTTGAACACAATGACATTGTTACTGGATCAGAGATTAATGATATACCAAAGGTGGAGAGATCTTTGTTAAAGGTGATAGAAATCGACAAGGTGGATTTCTTATCCTTTAGTTTGTTTGGCGAATGTCTTAATTCAGTGCACGTATGGTAAACCATATTGAAACTGACATTTTTGTGCCAATGCAGCAGAATTCCATTGCCGAAAGGGGAAAGCTACTGGTGACAAGCAAGAAAAGAACAGCTCTTTCTCCGTTGAAATCATGGTTTCACCGTAAAACATCTAAAGTACCTAGTTCAGAGGAAAGGTACCTCGTTTAGTTTTCAGAAAAGAAAAACATTTAGATGCATTCTTAATGATGAACATAATGGTGTTAATTGTGGATAAAGTAATGAGAGAAACGTTTTAGAGGCGGAATTCAGACTTGCACTAAGAAAATAATTTTGATGATTATTGAATCGAAGAGTATCTACTCTTTTTTTCCAGTATGTTTGACAATGCCACTGGTGCTTGAAATAATCTGTGAATTCTCTTACGATATGCTTGTTTGCCAGCCGCTCCAAGTCCCTGATTGCTCGTTTAGAAAGAGTTGGCGATAAAGAACAGGCAAGATTTTCCACAGATTCTGTTTCTTTAGCTTGAGCTTACTTTTGATGTGTTGTGGTACTGAATCAGTATATTTTCTTGCGGCGTCTTCTTTGCAGAAACTCAAGGACAAATTCAATGCCGAGACGATGCCAAAGGTGCAGCTACGAACTGAATTGAGGATTAATTAAACTCGACACAGATTTTGTATTTGGTCTCAAAGAAGCATAAAGTCGACCATTCCCTTATAATTGAAAGATCCCTTGTTTTTTGCAGGAGAAAACCGGAAGAAAATTTAGAAAAGCACATCATATATTTTGCTTCAAAGCCTGATTTCTACAAACATCAACTCTTCTGATGACAAAGGTATATGTTTCCACAATCGAATTATAATTTATCTGATGGTTTTATTGAAGACTCGCCAGAACACCTTTATTTCACATTGCCTAAAATATGTGATTTCCAATTCATGTCATGATGAATCTACTAATATTCACACAGACGGCTCTATTCTTCATCCCTAGACACAAAATTCAAACGTTCAAATGCAATTTTGATAACTAATCACCTTTTTTCTTGCAGAGTCAACCTGTCTGTCGGCTTACTAGGAAGAACCTGTTGAAGCAAAGCACGGATGAAGCACTACTTCAGTGCCGCCTTCTTCTTCAACATCCTCCCCGGCCCCCCAAAATAATATTTCTACAATCAGATATTACACTTGTAGCCAGTCGATTTCCTCGACAAGGAATGCTGGTATTCAAGATTTCCCTATGTTGAAAGGAGTATAGTTCTTCTGTATGATTTTTAAGTATTTACCAGTACATGGAACTCACAGAAACAAACTTGAAGTTTATAATATATCAGTCAGGTTCTGCAGTTTTTTCAAAATTAGGGGGATATTTTGTTTGTTTTATGATACATTGAATCGTCGTTGGTGTGTGCTGTTGCAGGCACCCAAAAGTAATACCTTAACCTCTAAAACTAATGTAGTAGTGGAAGTAAGGAACGATCCCACGAAGAGTATATAATTCAATATATTATGCTTCGTGCAATGATTATAGGGTTTTTGTATGCAAACAATTGTAAATAACGCATTTAATAACAATGAAAATTAAATTAACGAAAACAATCAAAAAACTGACCTTGGTTCAAGTCAATATCCACCTTCGAAAATTTTCAATTGATCATCAATACAAGTATAAATCAACCCATATTTTGAATATTCACCATTGAAATTAATTCTTATTACTCCTTAATTTTAGTCAGTTAGAAATCAGCGTTCTAACTAACCCTAATTATTAAATAACCCCAGATCAGTGCTCAAAATTCAATTTAATAACGGCTTTATACAATAGAGAAATCGATGAACTAGATAACACCAGCGGTTGCATTCAATCTATTTAAACATTATTCCTAAGATTTAACAATCACCAAAACGGCAAATTATCAAACCCTAGTTGCTGCACAAGTTAAGGAAATCAAACAATTACGGATTTGATATTTAACTTAGCGATAGATTGCAACGAAAAACAAACTAGTAGGCCTCCTAGAAAAGAAGAATATTCAATACTCAAAAATATGAATTAAACTAAGAAAAACCATTTAGATCTCACAATATGTGATTCTGATGGTTCAATCTCCTTCGATCAAATATAAAAGTTTAGTTACAATTCATGAATCTGAGTAAAATAATGAAGAATGAAGTTTGGAGGCGTTCCGTACGTTCTTCCTCCGCTCTAGGGTTTTAAAATATGTATTTTTAGTTGTTTTCATAGATAGTGGACTTAAATTCGAAAATCATAATTTTCGTGTCGGAAATGAACTATGCGGCCGCATGGCAGTAAGTCATGCGGTTGCATAGAACATTGAAAATGTACTCTGAAATTCGCTGAAACGCCTCTTGTGGCAGCATAGAATTAAAGTCATGCGACCACATGGTTTTAAATAATTTTCACCGGATAGCTTTCAATATTTTGACCATATCTTTCTCTCTCAATATTCGATTGAAGCGATTCAAGATAAGTTGGAAAGCTAACTCAAAGCGATACAACTTTACTTCAGATATCATCTTCTAATTCGATCGTCTGACTCCTAACACTCTCAAATCTTCATCGTGAGGTCCCACATAATTTTTGAGTATTTGTATTTCAGTCCCCAAACTTCGTTTTCTTTCATTTTGGTCCTTGTTTGCTTATTTCTTCCAAATTACACCACATCCATAGAATTGCCACCTAAATCAAAATATGAACGTAATGAATACATTTTGGCATTGATTAATCATACAAGTACATCAAATAAGGAGGAAAAAATATGTATTTTACATTCCTATCAGTCGTCTACTACAATATTTAATTATGCAAACGAACACGTTCTTTCAATAATTGGAAGAACTAAAAAGTGCTTTCTATTATGATTCTCAAATTATCCAAAATGACATTGTTCTGTTATCAACTGTCCACAAATTTGAAAACACCGTCATTTTATATTCTTTGTTGCCTATGAATTATCGATGTTTTTAAAACAGCATTGTCTTATGTTAAAACTTTATCTGTGAATAACACTACAATGTCATTTTCCACTGTTACCTACTATTTCTATTTTCCTTTAAAAAAAGAAAAGAAAATATTTCTTACCTAAAGAAAAACTTACACGTCTGATCCTTAAATGAACTACAAACAAATCTGAGTTAAGAACAAAAGTTTGATTCATTAAACAAGTTCAAATTTGTTACTTATGAAATAATATTAAAGCTTGTCGCATGAACGCGACTTATCACTATTATTTAGAGAACTAGAAAGCCAATGAAAAAAACAACATTAAGTTACTTATTATGCTAGAAAACTTACTTTTCTAGAAATCAATTTTACGTATTTTGTTAAAAAAACCCAACCTTTAAGTACAATCAAATGTACTATTGTTGCATAAGCTAAGGAAAATGGTATTGATATGATCTAGGAGTCAAGCCCGATGAGAACAAACTCGGGACGGGATCTGTTGATTATCGAAGGAGGCCCGATGACACGTTCGAGGGCAAAGGGGTGAAAGAGGCAATGGGATTGCTTGCTCAAACTATGGTGGACGAAGTTTCAAGGTTAACAAGTCAAGAAACAAGTTTCATGTTGGGTTCGGAAGAAGAAACCAAATGGATCAACTCGATTCAAACAGCAAACGAGTAGCATGGATGAAAACGGGCATAACTTTCAGCTCGGTTGTTGGATTTTTGCCCATGAGTATATTCTAAAAACAGCACGAAATTCTTTACAAGGTTGCTTTTGGGCTTGCGATTGTACAGAAACATGACAAGAACACTTTGACTAGAACTTTAATTTTTTCGCGAATTTCCTTGTTAGACTAGAATTCTATTTTCTTTCCAATTTTACAATATTTTGTAATCTAATTACGTTTTTACTAAGTTTTCTAGCCATTAGTATAAATAGGACTTCATTATTCAATGTATGAATCTTTTGACAAATTTAATATTGAGATATATTCGAGAGGCTATTGTGCTTTTCAACATTATGTTTCTTAGAACATTCTAAACTTATCAAGAGGATACTTGTGGAGTTCAACACCGAGTGCGGATCACGTGTTGTGCAATCAAGAGGTCATTCAAACTTCATTTTTGTTCAGTTGCTTGGTTCATTAATTCTTGGTTCAAACTCAAAAACGGGATTATTCTTTGCGCTTTCTTGAGATCTTCAATCTCGTTGTGGGTTGCGTAGTGTTCGTTGCTACGTGGCTCTCTTCAGTTGGTATCATAGCAAGACTCCAAAATAATCAGGTTATATCTTTTGTTTCTTATTTGAGTCTTGTTTTTATTTTTCTTCCATTGTTCTTCGCATTCTTCAGGTCCGTCTTATTTCTTAAGTTTTGATCCAGAAAATTCCAAAAAAAAATAGTCAAAATTATTTTTCGGACTAATTACAAGTCCAAATTAAATTTCATTTATTTTGTTGGATTTGTATTGAATCCCCGAGGTAAAAAAGGGAAAAATCCAAAAAACAAAAGTATTGTTATTACCAAGAAATTTCCAGCAGTTTAGATTTCAGATTTGAGCAAAAAAAAGGATCATTCAAAATTTACTTCATTTTATGTTCTTGGATAATCCATTGAATTCATTCTTTATCATTTCACTTCTTTCGTGTTTTTGAATCATTTTTCATCTTTTCTTTTCCTTCTCCTATCAATCGGTTGGATCCATGGGAATATAATATTGGTTGAGTTTACCTTGTTCTTTGAAGTACTGGGCGAAAGCACTGAGTGGTAAAAATCAGAGTGGTGAGATTAATAGAGGGAAAAAGTTAATAATTTGGTGATACACGAGTGATCATTTGCAAGGTAAAACTTCAATAGAATTAGGATGTCAGACAAAGAGGGTTCCAATTCAAATAGGCAGCCGAATCAAAACCACATGGCGAATGATGTAATAAGGCGGTTTTAGCAGTGGCAAACCTTCATAGAGGACAATCAAATGCAAGGAGATCGGGTAGGTGGGAGCCTAGGATGGATGTGCATGATGATTATGGATTTAGCAGTGATATAGATGATCGTGTATCGATGGTAGGTGATATGGGTAGAATGAGAAGTAGAGGAGGTAGGTTTGAAAGAAGGGGTAGAAGTCATTTTGAAGATGAAGTGGATGTGAATATGGGCAACATTAAGATTTCAATTCCACCGTTTAAGGGAAGAAGTGATCTGAAGGCTTATCTAGAGTGGTAGAAGAATGTAGAGTTAATAACTGATTACCATAATTATTCAGACGAGAAGAAAGTGAAAATTGCAGTTTTTGAGTTTGTTGACTACGCTATAACTTGGTAGGATCAAGTGGTTACATCAAGGAGGAGGAATTGGGAGCAAGCAGTTAATACTTGGGATTAGTTGAAAACTATCATGAGAAAGCAGTTCGTACCTAGTCACTATTACAGGGAGCTGCACCAAAAATTGCAAGGTTTATATCAGGGGCCAAAGAGTGGAAGATTACCATAAGGAGATGGGAATTTTGATGATTAGGGCGAATGTGGAAGAAGATCGGGAAGCCACCATGGCTCGTTTCTTAAATGGGTAGAGCAGAGACATTGCTAATGTTGTTGCAACATTATGTGGAAATTGAAGACATGTTGCATATGGCCATGAAGGTGGAGAAACAGTTGAAGATGAAGGGGACTGCTAGGAAACCATTGGGTGCTTCGAGGTTTAATTCCTCTTGAAATCCGAAGTGGAATAACAAAGGTGATGGAGCTGCTGCAAAAGGAAGGACTAAACTACCAAAGGGAAAAGACGATGGAGCTAGCAGAACAACTGCCAAAACAGAGCCACAACCAGCTAGAAATCGG